GATGACCTCCAGAGGTGCCTTCCAACCTCAACCTGGCTGATTCCTGGGACTCGTGTGAAGTCCACGTTTGTTCCCCATGTGGCAGCACCAGGCACGAGTCGCAGCCTGCTGGCATGGGCAAGCTGCTTCTTTTTTCTTTCTGTACAGCATACTGCCTTGGCTGTGGACTCATTGCTAGTTTCCAGTAATGTGCTGGTTGTCAGCCAGTGGTCATCATGGTGTGGTTTATCACGTTCACGTCATGCCCTGTCATCACCTGCCGGCTGGTGCCTGAATAGGGGGGAAGGGGATATTCAGTGCCAAGACTTTCGTGGATATAACCCGCAGTTTCATCCTCCTTCTCTGTCCATCCTCAGCATCACAACACTTCCCACCCTTTGCAGCCAGCCATGCAGCATGATGACTTTCTCCTTTAAAACCAAAGGCAATGACATCACAGAAGAAATTACCTTCAAATGACATCATGGGGGATAACACATACATCAAGGCTTTCCAGGGAGACGGAAGCACCGTCCCAGCGTGGCTGGTTGTGCTCAGGTATGGCCAGGATACGTGGCCTTATGAGGGAGGCCGAGCTGCAGGTGGATGGACACACGTCGCTCCCTGCACAGTGGTGCTCAATTTGGGGCAACTTTCGATCCTGTGGCTGCTGCCACACTTAGTGCACGAGGCCGAATAAGCACCCGACTAAAGTCTTTCCTCCGGTTCTCCTTGTTTCTGCTAGTTTGTCACTGATGCAGCCGGTGATGTTGCAGCTCCAGAGGCTACTCAAGCTACCATGCTGCCTGCCCAAATCTGGCTGATGTCTGCTCCAGCATGTAGGAAAGATAGGAAAGTGGAAACTTTCCTGCCATAAAGCAGCATTTTACCAATCACTTACATCAATGAGATACTGCTGGATTCCCTGTTTCCGTATTGAAATCGTGCCAAGTGGTACAGTCAATTGTATGCTGTAGCTCCAGCATCCACCTTTACTGTCTGGAGCTCTTTCAACTGAGAACCATGACGTTGCTTTTTGGGGTTATGTTTTACTCAGCTGAGGCAAACTGAGACAGGTTGTCCACTGGCAGTGAGCAAGGCAGGGATACTTCAGCCCGTTCTCCTTCTCATTGTGGAGGCGGCAGGAGGGGAGCACCCAGCTGATGGATCACCTTTTGTTTTCTTCCTTCCCTGCTGCTTTATCAGTGAAAGGATCCTCCCTTGTTAAGCCCTCAGGATGCCAATGCAAGGAAACAGACTGAATCTGATGGTCTGTGTGACTGGCCACTCCTCAAAGTCTCAATTTCCAGCTGGGGATGAAACAGTGGCAAATGTGAGGTGAATGTGGAGAGAGCAAGAAGCAGAGGAGTGAACAGAACTTTGTATTTAGCATTTGACCAAACATTGGACAATGAGAAACCCTGTCATTCCCATGAATATTTGTGTAGAAGTGGGAAATATGGGCAGTGCCAGACTGGTTGGGAGACCTCATATAGAGCCTCCACCTTAGCGTTGTGCACTGGGCTGTCACTTGGATGATTTCCAGGCACAGAAGAAAGCAAGC